GGCTTCCAACTCTTCAGGTAGTTGTATCAGTCGTCTCCGGCTGTGTAGGTTAAGTAACACTGGTCGATGTTGTTGCAGCAATAGGCCAGTCGATCTACTCCTCCAAAAACTCTTCCCTTCGTCTAATATGTCTTGGATGCTACTAATTTTGCGTTCGATCAACCTCACAGATTGTTTCATTCATGTCACATTTCTTAATACCAGTGACTCAGATGAGTTAAAATAGCTTTCAACAGCTATTTCCAAATTAATCGTATACTCTAACCATCAAGTTTTTCGGCTGGTACGCGGATTTCGTAAAGTTTCTTTACGCAGGTATCTACGTTCATCATCAAACTTATAATTTGTCAGATTAGGTAAACGTTGCTGCCCTGGTACGGCCGAGAGTCCGCTCTCCCTCTCGAAATACTCTCACACGGCTGCGCGTATATAGCCTCTGCCAGGGAAGTCCTACTCATTGCCTTCTCGTAGCGGGGGTGTTGTTTACGAAAATGAGAGTACGAAAAGCGAATGTCCGGCGCTTTAACCGGATCACAAACCAATGGTGCACATGGGCTCCAGTATCCTGAGGGAACAAATGGCGTATGGACCAATCGTTGGTCATCGGCTACCATGGGACTGCATCTCCTTACGATGCTCCACTGCCTTGTGGTTTATACCTTTAGGTCAAAGTCTCGGGGTGTGGCCCCCTAAGATAACCACCTGCTTCGGTCTGGGCACCCGGGCAGTATCGCAGCCCACTCACAATTATGATGAACTCTCTATATCTATGGAAACTGCTTTTCTCGCTTCGAATAACAATCAAATGATTCAAATTATTATCATTACTATTATTGTTATTATTATTATTATTATTACTACTATTATTATTATTATTATTATTATTATTATTATTATTATTATTATTATTATTATTATTATTATTATTATTATTATTATTTACTACGACATTATTCACCCTATTTTATTCCTACTCTGTCTATACTTATTTTTTTGACTTATACAGCAGCTCGTCTTTGGTGGAAATTCGACTCTATCTAAACGTTCTCGAGTCACTGTCCGGTTGAAAATTGTATGTTACCACCGAATATGAGTACTGAAGCAGTCTTTCTGAAACCACGTGCACCATTCAAACTGGCTGCCTTCAACGTTCGCACACTTATGCAGGACGGACAACAGATAGGGGTGGCTATGTCTTTAGAAAGTCTTAATATCGATGTTTGCTGTCTATCTGAGACCCGTATTCAAGACTCTGGTGAAGTACTACAAATGCGCTCTCCATCTGTCGCTTCGAAAGACTTGTTTTACGTGCGCTTATCCGGGGGCCCGGTGGCATCTTCATCTGGTCTTGCCGGCGTTGGTGTCGCACTAAGCGCTAGAGCTGAGGCAGCACTAATCGATTGAGTCCCCATTAACAGTCGATTATGTGCTGTTAGATTAGAAAGTTCCATGAAAGTGAGAAGAAACCGGCGTGAGAAACGATGTCTTTTCGTCGTCTCCGCCTATGCTCCGACAGATTGCAGCCCGGATGCAATCGAGGAAGAATTCTACCACCATTTAACTGTTCTTCTCCAGAGAGTGCGTTCGACAGATATTGTAGTACTAGCCGCAGACTTGAATGCTCAGGTCATGCGTCTAGGCACGGAAGAGAGTCGTCTAGGTGACCAATGGTGACTTGTTGGTCGCAGGACAGATAACGCGAATCATCTACTGCAACTATGCACAGACCACAACCTATTTCTGGCTAGCACTAACTTCCGGCACAGTCATCGCCGATGTGCCACCTGGCGTCCGCCTTCTACATCTCAAGCCTGGACTCAGATTGATCACATCGCAATCAGCTACCGCTGGCGTGGTTGTGTACAAGACTGCCGCTCCTTTTCGAGTACCTATCTGGACTCTGACCATGCTTTGGTCTGTGCCAATCTTACCTTACTTTACAGTGGTCAACGAAGTGACCGCCATCAACGGACTGATAATAGCAAGCTAGTTGCGACTTCTGTTGCTAGTAAGTATCGAACCGAGCTAGCTTGTAGGCTAGATACCATTCCACCGAAAAGCATTGGTTGCAATTGCATGACGCCATGAAAGTGGCGGGTACAGTCAGTTGTGGGTTCGCGAAACGTCCCGCTTATAAGCACTGGGTTTCTTCAGGTTCCTTACAACTCATTGTAGCCCGTCGGTCTACTCCTGGTGACCTTGAGTTTGACAACAAACGAAGGATGTTACGTAAGGAAGTTGAGCAAAGCTTGCGTAAGGACCGAGAAGCCTGGTGGTCGGAGCGTGCCAATGAGCTGGAAGCAGCAGCTGCATCTGGTAACTACCGGAAGCTCTTCCAATTCATCCAAGCCACTGGCAACAACACGTCTTGTGTGAGCGAAACAATCTGCGAGGATGACGGGATGCCAATCACTAACATCCATCGACGTCTTGGACGATGAGCAGAATTTTTCGAAGGGCCCTGCCCTCCATGGCCGGTGACGACTGATCCATCAAACGAGGAGGAAGTCCGCAAGGAACTCCAACTCTTGAAGCGTTACAAATCACCTGGCCCAGATGACTTACCTCCGTCTCTTTTTAAAGATGGTGGTGACTTTCTGACTAAGGAACTCACGACGTTGTTTACAAAGGTGTGGGAGCTAGAGTTTACCAACTTCATGGAATGAGTCGATTGTTGTCCCTATCTTTAAAAAGGGTTCACGTCGTTCCTGTAACAACTATCGGGGGATAAGTCGACTTCCGATTGCGTCCAAGCTATTGGCTTCCGTCATACTTCGCAGTTTGTTCAAAACCCGAGAATGATTGACTGGTGAGGAGCAGGCTGGGTTTCGTTCTGGTCGAGGATGTATTGATTATATCTTCACCCTCCGCCAAATGTTAGAACACCGCCATACTTATCAGAGGCCAACGATCGCAGTGTACCTTGACATCAGGACTGCCTTCGATTCGTTGGATAGGACTGTTCTCTGGGATTGTCTATTGACGAAGGGTGTGTCTGAGAAGTTTATTGACATCCTGAAAGCCCTATATACAAACACCTCAGGCAGAGTGAGGGCATACAACCACCTCTCTCCATTGTTCCATTCGAGCAGTGGGGTTAGCCAGGGTTGCCCAATCGCACCATTCCTCTCCAACTTTGCCGTCGATGACATTCTGGAAACAGCTCTGATGGATGTAAGTAATAGCGATGTGGATCTGTTGCCCGGAGAAAGACTTCTCGACCTTGCGTATGCGGACGATATTGTCTTACTGTGCGATAATGCCCAAAGCATGCAATCCGCACTTAATCAGTTGGCAATCAGTGTCCGTAGGTATGGTATGTGCTTTGCACCTTCGAAGTGCAAAGTACTTTTACAAGACTGGCAGGATTCTAATCCTGTACTCACTCTGGATGGTGAACAGATAGAAGTAGCCGAAAATTTCGTGTATCTGTGTAGCTGCATAAGTGCTGGTGAGGATGTGAGTGATGAGATCTATGCACGTATAGTGAAAACCAGAGCGGCTTATGCCAATTTGGGCCATCTTTGGCGCCTTCGTGATGTTAGTCTGGCTGTAAAAGGTCGGATCTACAACGCGTCGGCGAGAGCAGTTTTGCTCTATGCTTGTGAAACCTGGCCTCTCCGAGTTGAGGACGTTAGACGACTCTCTGTGTTCGATCATCGTTGTCTCCGAAGGATTGCTGACATCCAGTGGCTGCTCCATTTTAGTAATGCAGAGGTTCGGCATCGTGTGTTCGGACACAGACGCGATAATGCAATTGGTGCTTTATAGTGTAAATGTGAGGACGGTCCACGGGTGAGCTCGAGGAAGCTGTAAGAAGTTCAGAAAGCCGAAGAAATTCCATCCAATCAAACCACTTAGTGAGTCGAGAACATTTAAACAAGACAAGACTTCGACCATACACGAGCCTCTGTAAGTTATAAAAAATACACTAAATGGGAATCAAGAGGAGCCAATAGCTGATACAATATAAAACGTAAGTGAATGTGGCAAAATAAGAAAGTCTGTGTGTGGCCTGAGGTACACCCCGGATATTCTCATCTAAGGAAGCGGTTTTTTTAGGGAGCCATTCTTCAAGCTTTCAATCGAAGGCCAAAAACCTAAAAGACAGTAGAGCACTATCGAGAGATTCGGTCCCATTATAGTCAATGACCGATATCGGTTCATACCCCACTCATTCCTTTGACGCTCAGGAGCCTTTGTTCATCATTTATTTAGGACCAGGGTTTTCCCAATCATCTAGGTAGATCCTCCATATCCACCAATCCAGTCAAAGTATGTGGCGTTCAGAAAGACCAATTTAAAATCGGACAAAATGCGCCTCAGATACTAACTATTATTGCTGTGATAGAATTTAGAAAAAGTCTGTAAATTCAAATTGTAGATAAAAATATATTGGAACCAAGTAGCCGAACTTGACTACAGCTATCTCGTTTGAGTAGAGTGGTGGTCCAGTAGTTAAGGTGTTCTACTACCTGTCACTAATTCGTGCAGCGCTCCACCTATCACAGTTTAGAAAACCAGGTAATATTTCTTGCCGTCTTACTTAGAGTGTAACTCAAATTCTAACACTAATATGTACCCAGTAAATGAGAATATGTTCTGCGTTTGTTTAAACCCTTTTTCAAAAAGTCAGGGGCATTTTACTTTTTTAATAACTTGTTTAAATTTAGTATTCTGAAGTAGTTAATTTTTTGTCGGTCAGATGTATGCTTGTATGTAATAATTTCTTAGTTCCATTTACTAGAAACTACGCGACCAATGAAAAATGTGGTTATTCTATATTCGTATGTTACCTCAACAGAAATCTCAGATCTGTCCAAAATGTATTGTAGCTATAAATAGATCAACACTGGTAAAGACAAGACATGTATGACTGTACTGTCCGAACAAAGTGCTTAATTGTTTATAAAGCATTCGATATACAAATACCACATTTCATCATTGGTTAAAACACATTCTGTAACTAGATAAGATGATTTTTTGTTTTCTTTCTTCAGGCTTCTTTTGGAGTTCTGTTTATCCTGCGTTTAAAAGGGCTATTTCTAGACAGAATACCAAATGTGCTCCTATACCCGTGAATCTATTATCGATCCTATCCAAAATTGCACTATATTTTATTCGTTTATCCAATATCTGTTTTTCATACTGGAGCGAACAGTAAGAAACTATTTCTTACCTATTTTCGTCTGTATTTATGATTTTAACTTTCTACAGAAAAATTTGATGTTTTAATTTATTCTTTGTTAGCATTATTAGATTAGTGCTTCTAAAGTTAACTCTTAGTTCGACTTTCCTGATGAATTGCTGCCTAAAAACCATACCACTTATGTTTAGTGTTTTCGTTATTTTTCATTTCCCTCTGTTTCGCACTCTTGAAAAAATTTGAGTTATTAGTCATTACTATGCTCTACTTATCTGACAATAACTCAGTCTTTTTTACCTACATAACTACTGTTTGTATCCTGGATACGTCCCAGGTAATAAGATTGTTTGCCTTGTCTACACTAATTGTGGTTTATTCGTTCTGCGTAAATAATATGTAAAACTAATTATTACTCTATCCGCACAAATGTAGTCTCATTGATTAGTGGATTTACTCTAATTTTCTGACATTTATAACTAACCAGGTCGAGATTGGTCATCGGCCGTACGATATTTTACAAAAAGATACTTTTATGATATAGAAGAAAATAACATCCTAATTTTATTGGCTTAACATTACACGTCTGGTAGAGTAGAAGTTAAAAAATACTCGAAATTCTGTTCACTTCCATTGACTAGGTCACGTCACTAGTTTCATTCCCCATAATGTTTTCCTGTGCGATACATCAGTCAGAAATCGAAAAAATATTTACTAAATGTTATCTCAAATTCAATTGTACTCTACAAGGGGAAACATAAGTTACGCTTCCATTCCTGTGACGACGGACCACGGGTGAACTCGAGGAAGCTGTAGGAGACTCAGAAGGAGCCAAAGATATTCCATCCAATCACCTTTTGGGAGGATATTTTAGAATTCCTACGTGTAACTTCCTGATTGGACAATGCTAATAACCCCGTGTATGCGGATTGGAGGACTGTAATGATGATTTCGTTCTTACTGAAAACTATAAATACCTGGGAATTTTGTACTATAATTGACACTGTCTGAGAATAATATTCCTTTCATTAGTCTTCTGTCTTCTCATTGCTACTTGGAAGGGTTCTGACGTTCTAGTGCTCACGTTATACGCGGTATATCAAGAACAACCTTCTAGATATAACAATTCCTTTCTCCAAATACGTTTTTATGCAATACATTATATTCCTACTGTTAATAGAATATGGTATCTGTGAAATGATAAACATCTAGTGATTTAACTTAATCCATGGAAAAATGGACAGATATTACATAAGAAATAAGCTTGTGTATATGATATTTTTTGTTCACCAAGGACTGCTTATTAATTGGTTTTTCAATAAATTTCCTTTCTTCTAGTAAATCGACCATCTATCTTCTTGATCCCGCTGACCTATTTGATTTGTTCACAATGAATCCGTCTATAGATTTTTCGTAAGCTTTTTAACCCATATGCTTATTGTATTTTACTTATGTACCAAAATAACTAATAGTAAGCTGAAAGAAACTCAATACTTTTTACGCATGTAATAGTTTTTAACACTTTATGACTGACAATTATGGAATTATTTGACGTATTTTATTTGAACACATACATATTGGTACAAGAGTGCGCCAAATATATATGCGCCACACAAAACAATGAGAATTTAAAAAGAAGGAAAGAGAAAAAAGGTAAGGAAGGTTAAAAAACAATAAGGAAGAGATTGGTGTAAGGTAGTGTAATAATAATAATAGCAATAATGGGGGAACGGAAAGGTACAATCAGAAAAAATCCTTCAGTTAAGGAAGATACAACCATTTTTTATGAAGAAAGTAAAAGAAGGTTACAGCAGGATCGCCGCTGGCTTCTATTCCGAGCCATATCTGACAACGTCTCTAGCCACTGTGTAGCACCATCTCTCGGACCCCAACCAGGGAGTCGAGAAGGACCAACAGAAGCCAGTCCTTTGCAGCTTTCTTTCATGCCACGACACCATGCCATATATATTCTTTGACGTATTCCTAGTTGTGTGAATAGTTTAATTCCCCAGTGTCCTGACAGACCGTTGTTGTTGTGCTTTTTTTTCGAATGCCCATATGTAAATATTTTTTCGCTTTAGATGTTTTTTTTTCTTCCTCACTTTTTTAATAATACAGGTTTCATTTTAGTATTATGAAAGCATTTTATGGCACATCTAGTACAATTAAAGAATTGGTTATCATTCTTAGCTCAAGTAAAAAGGAAACTTCTACAGTTGCTTGGTTATTCTTCGTCGCTTTACTAACGTATTGTTTGTTTGTTAGAACTGTAAATTCGTTTTCGACAGAAAGTCATGATGATTTCATCTTTCCGTCTTTTATAAGCGAAATTCGTGCTTATCTGCCAAAGCAAATAACCATTTCAACAATCTCCAATTTAGATCCTGAGACCATTTTCATTAATATAGCTGCTTATTTCGATGAACTCTCTGTAAGTCATTTACCTTTATCCTGATTTCTAACTTTTTAATCTAGTAGTTTACACGTTTAGGAAAGACATGACTTAAAATCCTAAGAATCCTAAGTCACTGAAATCACCACTAATTCAACCACACTTTGGCTGTTCTGTCATAATTGAAATTTAACTGAAGGTCTGAATCATTGGATTATTCAGATGTATCCCATAAATCATATGGTCGAAATACCGAATTCAATGCATGTTAGCACACTATTACTTAGTTCAGACTTTCAGTGACAGCTGTAGTTCATAGAGAGAAAGATAACAAGACTTCATTTTTAACTCTTCAATAATATGCACTAACCTCCCTCCCCCATCATTAGCTGTCGCAAAGAGTTACGAAAATCAACATTAAAATTCTTTCGTGAATAGAGCAATACATTTTTGTCAGTCCTGAAATGCCCTGGTACGAGCGAGTGGGAGAGTCAGCTCTCCCACTCCAAATGCTCTCAAGTGTCCATGTGCATACAATCACTGCCAGGGAAGTTCTACTCACTACCTTCTCGTATTGGTAGTATTGTTTACGAAATTGAGAGGACGGAAATCGAATGTATGGCGCTTTAACGGGGTCGGTGGATACGGAGGATCCACCTAGGGGAGTTGGAAAACCCTGATTCCAAACCAATGGTGTACATGCGCTCCAAGATCCTTAGGAAACGAATGGAGTATGAACCAATTGTTGGTCACCGACTTCCATGGGACTGCATCTCCTTACGTTGCGCCACTGCCTTGTGGATTAGACCTTTAGGTCAAAGGTCTGGGAAAGCCACCTGTTTCGGTTTGGGCACTCGGGTAGTATCCCAGCCCTCACAAAAATCAAATGATTTATATGGCTCATATCCGTTTGGTACCTCCTTGTATCAATGTTTATGTGTTTAAATGAATAATAAATAAATAAATGTTTCAATGGTTAAAATCATGAGTCAATTGAAGCTAGACCACCATGGAAAACCTGGAAGCACTGGATAACCGTTTCGTTCTATTGTGGGACTCCTCAGCAGTGCGCATGTTTGTCAATCTGTTTTTTGAACGACCAAACTCCATGTTCAGCATATGTTGCTAGAAACTACTTTCTTGAAGTCTTATTGACACAACTCAAATCACTCAGTTGCTTCCGCTACAAAGACTAGTAATAAGCACTGTATAATCTTTGTTTCTCGGCAGTTAACATCATTAGGTCTTAATCAACTTGTTTATATAAAAGTTTGTTAAAATCATATAATATTATTACAAATTTGAAATGAATGTCTTCATTAGTATCACGGAATTAATGTTTTCCGCTGTAACAAAATTTGTTTATTTAGTCATCGAAAATAAGAATACTTTTGTTTTTCTACTCTCAGAGTACTTAAAGATTCATTTAAACATTCACCATCATTTTACTACAAACCCTTGGAAGATGCTAATCTTGTATAGCATTTTGCCAACTTGGTTCCTTATATACTCTTCTATGAGTAAGTGGAAGTGCACGTTTCTGTTCCATTCCTAAATTTAGATAACGATTTCCATGATCCAAAGATTGGAATTATTTGGCATTCACTCGTAAGTTAGTTTTAGCACGTCACCATCTATTTTAAAAATTTGATAAGGCATAGTGAAATTAGGTGTAGCAATACTAATTAAAATGTTTTAGTAATAATAAGTCTCTCTACCGATACGCTTAAGCTGTCTCCTTAACCAGTTCCAATATCTCCAACTACTTCTACCCATCAACTGAAACACTAGAGAGGTGTGTATCGCGAGTGAAAGCTTCACCCCAAGGTTGTTTCATGTACAGAAAAACGAGGGTATTTGTAGAAATGCACACGACCTTGGGCCGGGTTTCTGGAACCATATTAAATATAGTTGTTGTTGTAGTCAAGGTTATTATCCAATCAAAACTGTAACCCATAATTCTGCAATACCTAGATGTTTCTGCGAAGATTCTGTTCAACGCGGACTGGATTAAACGTCTCCGGGCTTCTAGGGACTTTGACGAGGGATATTTGTGGGACTCCTCGAATATTACATGTACTTTTGATACAGTAGCGTTTTGTTTAATATTTCATGTGCCATCTGACATGTATTTGTCTTTTAACCTTTTCATTTGATTATCTGTAGACATTTCAAGCTCGGATGTTATTCAAATCTGTTTTTGTTGAATATATCGGTCGATTAAGTGAGTTTATTTGTACATGTTGCTCTGTGTCCAGTTCTGCACAGGAAAGTGGTTTTGGGTTGAGTCACACGACACAGAACAGTTTCTTAAAACCGGAGGATTTATGTGGAAGCGGTTATCGAGTGGCAGGGATGTTAATTCGTTATTGTTCAATGTTACTTTATTCTCCAGTCACTACCGAAGGCTCAGTATCAAGCTTTGAGAAATTGGTGAATCACTTTTTTCTTCCACGACAGTTATACGAAACACAGGATTCTAACAGATTTTCTACTCTCAACGAATCTAATATATTCCCATGTTATGTTATGGAGTCCATGCAAGAGCAGCTACCTGAAGTAATTATAAATAAACTACTTACATACTTCTAAATATCGATTTCAATAACTTCATTTTTATACCATCAAATATTCCTAGCCTTTTTTCTTGATGTTACTTCAGTTTTATTTTAACTGCATCAGTATGTAAGTATATAGTTTTACTGATTCAATGAATATTTCGTTTTATATCAAATTTCTAATCTCTAATTTACAGCTTACACGTGGTATTGCTCAATTAAATTGGAAAAGTGATCCTTATCTATGTCGCATAATAAAAGACATTGTCAAAATACATTATAAACACCTTGGTCCAGGAGCTATTGCCGTAAGATTTTATTAATGTCTTTTTCTTTGTTTCTCTTACAAATCCTTTTTTGTAATAGTTTTATATCTTTTTTTTTTAATTATTTAGTCAATGGTACTAAATAGCCCTACATTGGATTTTCGGACTCATATTTTGCAGTTTGCCACTTACGATCAAATTATCTATCTGACTGAGAGTAAAGCTTTGTCCGTTTCTGGTTGTGAACAAATCACATATCAGCGCAACATTCTGTCTAATGTAGGTCTCAAAGTTCTATTTTTCAAAGCTTTGGTTTCATAACTAACCAGTTTTCTCTACTTGACATTTTCATGTTATTATTCTTAACAACTCTAACTTTTTTGAAAATTCGATCCTTTTCTAAATGATCTCGTTTATTGAATTAAGTGCCTTCATATGCCTCTGCAAATTTGTCAGATTAGAATTGGATTTCCTTGCATTTTCTTCCTTTGAAAACAGTAGTTAAAAGGCAATCAATGTACAATAGCATTGTTTGCAGCGTGATTCGTGGTTAGATTCTGTGTATTACATTTCCGTTGACTAACTTATAATAAGACTATCGCTGTAAGAGACATTACTGTACATCTTTGATCTGAAATGAATTTCTGAATGAATGGAATGAAATTTCATCCCGAAGTCATGACATGGGGATGTCATGACTTAAATAGAGGACACTTGAAGTTCTCATTAGTATACACAAAAAATGACATTAATTTTAAAAGGCTTTCAAACTCAAAATATCATACAAGAAACAACATTTTAGCTTGATGTCGTGTGTTAATAAGATAGGTGGTTTTTATATAATCACTAACTTCAATTATCAACTCGCGTTACCCCTTTGTTTGATAATGTTTTTGGCTAATGTTTTCCCAAAGATCAGGTTAATCTGTATTTCCCCAACTTAAGTATAAATTTGACGGCTTAGTAATCTAAATATTTGCGATATTAAAATTATTTTCTTGTAACATTTGTAGCTGACTCTAAAAAGTCTTACCAACGATATCCCCCGTCTTTCGATTATCCGTATTCAAGATTAGGGTAAATGAATGTCAGTTCTCCCATATACCATCGCAAAATCTATGTTTTAAATTCGCTTATCCGAGAACCTTATGAGATCTTCGACTGGTCTATATGATGTTGTTGTCCTACTCTAGTCTTAAAGTAGCTTTAAGTCACTGGATCCTCATTAAGTCGTTTATATCTTCCCTTGTTAGGTATAATCAAGACGGGAAAGAACTAGCCTAATAAACTCTGTTGTTATCGCCAAATACTTCCTGACTGATTGCAGCCAATATCTAGTAGAGAAGGAATAGATGTGTAAATTGAGGATGTTTCAAACTTGACATTTTCTTCAACTCGCCTTTGCTATTTCACCTCTGTTTTTATTAGTTATTCTATCAATAAGTTATCAACGATATTGTAAATCTCATGACTGCTGTCTTTTAGCGTGAACAAAGTTCAATCACAATTAATTATGCCATTGAGTGTATGGTTTTAAATCAGTTTCTTATTGCCATCGTGTTCTGTTGCTACCAATTTACTGATTAATATTCTATATTTTTAGTGGTCGAATATGTTCTATTACTATGTAGTTATTATTTCACATGCGTTTATCTGATTATTATTCGAAATCGGAGTTATTGCAAATAATTTCTTCTCCTTTAAATTAGTGGGTGGATTTCGCATATTCAATATACTCCAATACATATTCAAGTGGTATTTACCTGAGGTTAGTTGTCGAACTCTCTTCCAGACATCTCCATCCTTTAAGTGCATTGCTTTTTTATCATCAGTATATATATGTATATATATCATGTCGGTTGTATGAGACAGGACATTTAATACGTACTGATAAGACACGTTAGTATGCCGTTTTTTATTACGTAGACAAACAACTAGGCAACGCTGCAGACATACTTCCTGTACTCAAATCTACTGCCATATTTTTTTATGTTTGATGGTAGCTAGTAGTGTGACATCTCATAGTTCATAAGTCATTTTACCAAGTACCCAAAAATGAGCTGTCTAACAATCATGTAATGAGAACTAATTTACTATTCATAACTAGACACTACCGGTGTTACGAATAGAAAACGGAGTGACTCGCATATCATATCGAGTGTACTAATACCTAAAGATGGACTTGTAGTTTAGAAGTTTTTCAGGACTTACTTTAGTAATAAATAATGGGTCGTAATTGATGGCGAAAACAATCGGGTAATGTCGCTAGTTCGAACATGATAGAAGCCAACTAGCCAGAGTATCGAACTCCATACGGTCAGTGAGTTGAATTGTAATTATAATTATCAGATCCCGAATATAAATGTAAATGGTAACTTAGCTTTATGAGAAGAAATTAAGGTGCCTGGCAAAAGTATTTACTGAAAATCAATTTACCCAAACTGTTGCATCTATTACTCTGTAAGTTGAGTAAGTATACTGTTAAATGTATTTTTTTCTAAGGTTATCTAGTGGTGGATAGTATGCATCCAAACACTAGTGCACCTAAGTAATTTTCACTACTAATTGTTGTGATTTTCCTATACGTTACCTACCTAATGGACAACCAGCTAACATTATCCAACAAGAATCTCGATTATAAATCTTTCTCGTCTACAGACTAACGTCCTATAGTTTGGATAATTGAAACACCTCGACGGACAAGGAATAACCTACTGGTCCACAACACGCACCTGTTCTGTCCTTGTATTTAGTCCGAAGTAAAAGGATATAATGAGAAGCAAGCTTCCATCATCATATTTCATTCACTCAGGTGAACCGCAGTCCGTTGTCCAAAACCAATATGGGGAATATGAAAGTATTGTAATCAGGTTATTTAATATACAAAATAAAAATATGTGATAATATTCCCTAAAATAGATCCAAAAGTCAACATTTTCTCGGTATTTGATTCTTTATAGTAGTACTGAAAGCTTCTTTTGAGTTTTGGTCGCTTACTTAATAATTTGTCTCTGTATTATTATATGTTCTAGTTGAGATCAGTACAAACATCAATATCCAGACATCTAAAGGTTTTTTGCTTTATTTATTAAGAGAACATTTTCAGAAATGTGATCGTATTCATACAATTTTGAAATTACATATATTCCCTGCGTATCATTCCTTTTTTTTTACAGTGATGCTCCATTTTTAGTTTCCCCTATTCTACTGTCAAACACTTTAAAAGATTTAACTAGCGCATTGAATTCTGATAGTCGCAAACACAGTATACATATTCTTAAAACGTATAAAGAAGCGGTCACATCGGTAGCTTGTAAAGAAACAAGGTAATCTTCACAAAGCATTTATTTAACCGTTTTCGTTAATCTTTAATTGTCTTTTAATTTATTCATATATTTCTGTTATATCATGATTTTTTTGTTTAGAAACCAATGTTTGCTTCCCTAATATGTAGTAATTGTATTCGTCAATCAACTGATTACAGTAGACCATGACGTTTGACTTAATAATCTTCAGTGTGTAACCAACGCAATATTAGACTATAAGTTTATCTTCTGCTAACTAAACATAATTATCGTGATGATCTGAAACAATTTTTGGCTGTTAAACATCAATGTGATTAATTCAGCACCTTTAACCACACCATAATAGTTTCTATTCTTAATTGACTTCAGTTTTATAGTTCTTAAAAAAGAACCACAGTGTGTGCTGGATACCGTGAATTTTCACGCCCGAGATTCCAAGATATTTTTGGTATAAAGGAATTTTCCTTAGTCAACTTTCATTTCACAATTTAATATAGCCTTGCGGGATCTGAACGATCATAGATAAACTGATACTCATTATATTGCAACTGCAATAGAAACTATATTCACGAAAACCTAAAATAAACTTAATGTGGCGCGCAGAAAACCCATGTTCGGCCAAATGTTGAATAAAAGTGTCGTATTTTGTTCAAAGTACTAAAATTAGAGACTAACTCAAATTTTATCGAAGGAATGTGGAGCAAGTAACTATGATAAAGTTGTCCACTGTCGGTGGGCTGACAAGATTTCTTTGTTTTTGCATCACATAACAGCAGTTTTCACATGTTGTGACTGCTTTTTTGGTAAACCACCTGAAAACATTTTTGTGATACGGACTAAAAATATTTTATACGATTTTCTTACCAGAAGACTAAAATCTAGTTCTTTCTAACCTCTAGATCTCGTATCCTTGAGCTCTGCTGTAACCTGGATAAGAAAACCATGGACCCTTCATGCACTCTTGTCGCATATTTTGGTCTAAAATAGTATTTCTTTCAGCCTGTTCACATTAGTGAGACACGAATTATGTGTAACGCACCCTAAAAATGATATTTACATTCAATAAAGTTTTTTATCACTTCGTCTTAATGATTGTATGGGAATTATAAATCGGATATATATGTCGCCTTTTCGAAACTTATCTCTTTGTTACAATTGTCTCATCCCACAGATTTCGTTCTCCGGTTGTTAGGTCTCAACAAGTTGTCCCTTCGACACTGCGGTCACGCTCTCAGATCACTAAAACCAACTCTAGCCCAATTTCCTTCTCAAGTACCTCTAGAAGAACCCTTCTACGGTGTGGGCAACCGGGAAGTGATAACCGCCCTCATACCTTTAACAGCACTCAAGACCACTGTATTCATAATCAACCTCACTCTTCAATTCCTATCATCCCTCCTACATCGACTTTCAAGCCTAAGCTTCCTCCTCAAGTGTCACCATAGCCGACGATTCTAGTGCGCAAAACACTGTCTCAGGTCTACTGAAACCTCGCTCAAAACTACACATTGGAGCCTTCAGAGTACTCACCTTATGTCAAATCGATCAGTAGGCCTCCTTGTCTAAAACCCTAGAACCTCGTACCATTGATGTATGCTGTGTCTCTGAAACACACATACAGGATCCTAGTGTGATCATTCACTTTACCTCACCTAGCCAGAACGGGGAGCCAACGAGATACGCGCCTCGTTTATCTGGCGACCCGATGGCAGATTCTCGTGGACTAGCAGGTGTAGGCATAGCACTAAGCATGAGGGCGGAACAAGCACTGTTAGAGTGGATCCCCGTTAACAGTCGTTCATGTGTTGTTCGGCTGAACGGCCCCGTAAGAACTCGGAAGGATAGGGACACACGTCGTTGCCTTTTTGTCGTTTCTGCCTACACTCCCACTGACTGTAGCTCGGATGAACTGAAAGATGAATTTTATAGAAAGCTCTCTGAACTTCTTCAGAAAGCTAAACGTTCAGACATAGTACTCGTAGTAGGTGACTTGAATGCCCAGATCGGTAGTTTAAACCAAACAGAAAGGCATTAAGGTGCGTGTTTTAGTACTCCGGCTCAGCGAACAGATAATGGTGATCGTCTTCCTCAACTGTCCTCAGAAAATCGTTTATCTATAGTAATCACTAATTTAAGCAGAGACATCGGAGAGAGCACTATTTTAAGCATAAGAAGATACATCGTCTAACATGGCGACCCCATACACCATATTGCCATCATTCATCGTTGGAGAGGGTCGGTAGAAGATTGTCGCTCATTCTGGAGTACCTGCTTGGACTCCGACCATGCCCTAATACGAGCACGCATCTGCTTGCGCCTCACTGGACACAAGAAAGTCACATTAAAAAGACCTACTAGAACTGAAATGAGTAACGAGAAAACCAAAAGTAGGTTCCAGGAACAAACAAGGTCACGCTTAGATAGTTCTGAAAATGAGGCTGACCCAGATGTAGCTTGGAGAGATATACAAGCAGCTGTGGAAACAGTAGTGACATCTACCAGTAATTTAAACCACAAGGTTACAAAGAACCAATGGATTTTTTCAAGGTCTATTAAACTGATGGGTTCTCGTAAACTCATACCATCAGGTTCTGAACACGATGAAGAGCGTAAACAAATCAGATCTAGGTTAAGCAAAAGTCTAAGGAACGACCGTGAGCAGTAGTGTGCAACGAAAGCGAAAGAGATGGAAAAGGCGGCGGCTATAGGTAACACAACACAGCTCTACAGACCAATAAAAGAAACTGGAATTAATAAGTCAAATGTAAGTCAGAGTATTTCGAAAAAAGACGACACTCTTATCTGTTCTCAGACCAGACGTTTAGAACGATGGGCGGAACATTTTAGAGAACAGTTCAGCTACTCTACCATTCCCAGACAGTGTGAATAAAACATTGAAGTAGGTCCCCCAACTCTGGCTGAAGTTCAAGAGGCTATAGCTATTCTGAAACGAGGAAGGGCAGATGGATTGCCTCCAGAGGTCTTTAAGGATGGTGGTCCAATTCTAGCAATTAGGTTGACTAATATTTTAGCTAAAATATGAGAGTTGGACGTAATCCCACCTGACTGGTCACAATCACTGATTGTCCCAATATATAAGAATGGATCAAAATCATCCTGTGATAACCATAGAGGGATTAGTTTGACTAATATAGCACCTAAAATACTAGCATCAATAATCATCGGACGCTTAACTAAGATTCGTGAACTGCACACACGAGAGAATCAAGCTGGCTTCAGACCTGATCGTGGTTGCATCGACCACATATTCACCATTCGTCAAGTTCTAGAACACAGGCATACTTATCGGCGTCCGACAATGGTGGTCTTTCTTGACTTGAAAGCAGCATTTGACTCTAGAGACCGAGAGGTTCTGTGGTAGTATCTGTCATTGAAATGTGTACCTCAGAAGTGCGATTTTGCAACTTCTCCATTCCTGTTCAATTTCATCGTAGGCCAACCGCTGGGAATAACGTTCTCGTCATCTGAATTTTCAGGAATTGGTCTTCTTCCAGGAGGTCCACTTATCGACTTAGAATATGCAGGTGACATAGTCCTGTTTGGTGAAGACGCTGACAAAATGCAGAGTCTTCTGGTAGCACTGAGCAACAATGCCGGAATTTTTGGGATGCGTTCCCCTCTCTAAATGCAAGTTGTTGCTTTAGAACTGGCCTGCGTCAACACCTGAACTAAGGATAGAGAGTGAAGTAGTCGGAGGTGTCAACAACTTTACTTGGTCAGCCGTAGTGGGTTGGTGTCTGAAGAAATCTCAGCACGGATTTGAAAAGCTCGTCTGGCTTTTGCCAACCTACGTCACCTATGGTGAAGGCGAGATAGCCGTCTATCAATTAATGAACGAGTATACTGAGCGGCAGTTCGTTCTGTTCTACTTTACGGCTGCAAAACGTGGCCATTAAGAGTAGAAGATACTCGTAAGCTTCTAGTATTTGACCACAGATGCCTTAGAAATATTGCCCGCATCTTTTGTGGCCGTCAGATAAGTAATAGTGAGGTTAGACGCAGGGTATTAGGGAATTATGGTAAACCAGTCGATGTGATTGTGAATCTTCATCGACTGAGATGGTTGGGCCACGTGTTGCGTATGCCTGAACACCGATTACCGCGAAGCACAATGCTGGCCTGCTTTGGGGATAGTCCTCATCATTCAGCAACAGAAGTTTCCGACGAATTTTATTATCGAGATTCTCTTTTATCAGAAAATAAGTCAGATGCATGAAATGATGATCAGAAACCTAATACGAATATGATAGATGCTGATTACCGTAGTGATCTATTATTCACAAATGAAAGTGATGACAATATTTCAGAAGATTCAAACGTTGATGACTTCGAAATAAATGGGGTTTATCCTCACTATCTGTTCGATTTTAACGGAATCTATGTTCACTATGTTTTAAATACAGTCAAATTAATTGTAACTTGGGTATATGAGAACGCAGCATTACTTCGCGGGGTAGGATGAACTCGGAAAATTTAAAATCCGGATATCAATTCCGGATCTTCAGAAAAGGAGGTGCTTGGATATTCAGGAAAATATCTCAAGAATTATTTTATTAAGTTTAATGCTATTCTTGGACTTGACATGGTATCATTTTCCTATTGGTCAATATTTATTTCACGTGTCAAATGTTATTTTCTATTTTATGGTACGATGTGGTATGCTTGATTGGTATATAAGCAGAGTGTGTTTGAAATATAACGATTCATATCTCAGGGGCTGAGACTTGCGTTCTGGACTAAACTGGCTGGGCTAGACAGGGAAGCGGGACCAAACAGAACTCTAGGCTGCTCATACGGTTTTACGTGTCATTGATCCGATCGATAGGTCACTGCTCTCTAATCAGCGGTCACAAGTTATAACACTGGAAGAAAGTTAGGGACGACCAAACCGAAACGTGACATCAGTGCTTGAAGTCATCAACTTCCGGTTTGAGCCATGTTGGTAGATGCAGTCTACTTGGTTGGGGTCCGCCTGACTATTGTAATCAATGGTTGGAGACTCTGAGAGACATGGCTCAGAATCGATCACAATGGTGTAGGTGTATACACTTTCTGTCTTCCCTTAAACTAAGAGATTAAAATCACTTCATATCTTTCTTTCTACGAACTAATTCTTTCTCCCTGTATCATATCCTTATATGCAATATTTTTTAATTGAAGTAACTGCTATGAATTCGGTGTTCATCTTGCTGTGCTAATAATGTATGACAACTTGGACCGATGAATATATGTGTCTGGTCCTACGTTGTAGATAACTGACTGACCAATTCTTAAAGTCTAGGTGAACTTAGTTTCAGAAAATCAGTTTTACAGATAAAAGTTTAACTTTCTGACGAAAACTATTTGATCACATAATATGAGTATAAACCAACCACATACTTGCTACAATTCGGCAGTGAAAACATTAGGAAAAACTCATGGAAAACACGCAAATGTGAAAAGTACCAAACACCCTCAAATAGGTATTCAATAAAAATGTATGATACCTAATTTTCTAAAATGGTGTTAGTATTCAGAGCTCTGAAACAATAGTATTGGGATGACATAACTCTTTGAAAAGAGCAGGGAATGAATACTACGTACTGCTGCATTGAGATCAATAACACATGTGAAGAGATAAAAATTTCAGAAGAGATATGTTTTGAGACGGTGGAGATTTGTAGCTCAGATAGATGATTTTAATGGAGTTTTTTCTCAACCAAATCATCTAGCTCAGAGAAAAAAAACTCCATCAAAAGCGAGATATGTTTATTTAACACTTAATTAGGAAGTGAATCACGAATGGGAATTACAGAACAATACGACTAGAGTTCTGATACGTCTCCGGATGGCCAAGCTCAAGTTTAAATATCCATTTACGAAGTTGAAAAGCTTCTGTACGGCTGACCAAGCTAGCAATCGTTGGTTGACGAATTCTTATGTAATTTTAACGGATAATTGTAATAGCATTTACCATGAACAAACCGTCCGAGATAGATATGTTTAAGAAGGATCTAAAATGAACACAGGTGTCCAGCGATAACCAAACAATGAAATATTTTATATTAATGAGAAAATGTTAAAACAAT